GCCCGTCCGGTGAAGTACAAAGCCTATAATGAGGGAAAGGTAAGCCTTTGGTCCTCTCGAAACATGGGTTTGCTGGGTACCATCATCTTGGCCTTCATCGTGCTTCACATGTCGCAGTTTTGGTACACCTACAAATTTGGTGAAATACCCATGACTACCATTGATGGCCAGGCGGTGAAGGACATGACCTCGGTGGTTATCAGCACCTTTACCGATGCCACCTGGGGCATTTGGATGACCTTGATATACGTAATTGCGCAGGTGGCCATTGGCTTTCACTTGTGGCATGGATTTGAAAGCTTTTTTCAATCCATGGGAATAAGCTCCAAAAAAGTGCGCATCTGGCAAGTAATTGGAAGAATATTTTCGGTAGTTATTACCATTCTCTTCGCCATCATCCCCATTTATATTTACCTGAACGCTTAAAAAATTTACTATGAATTTAGATGCTAAGATTCCAGAAGGAGCACTTGAAAATAAATGGCGGAACCACAAAAATTCAATCAGGCTGGTAAACCCTGCCAACAAAAGAAATATTGACATCGTAGTGGTGGGTACCGGATTGGCCGGTGCTTCGGCCGCGGCTTCCCTGGCCGAAATGGGCTACAATGTAAAGGCCTTCTGCTTTCAGGATTCTCCGCGCAGAGCGCACTCTATTGCCGCTCAGGGCGGAATAAATGCCGCTAAAAATTACCAAAACGATGGCGACTCGGTGTACCGCCTTTTTTACGATACCATTAAGGGGGGCGATTACCGTTCGCGCGAAGCCAACGTTTACCGTTTGGCCGAAGTTTCTACCAATATTATAGATCAGGCCGTGGCCCAGGGCGTGCCATTTGCCCGCGACTATGGCGGTTTGCTTGATAACCGTTCGTTTGGTGGGGTGCAGGTAAGCCGTACTTTTTACGCCAAAGGGCAAACGGGCCAGCAATTGTTGCTTGGAGCATATTCGGCTTTAAGCCGGCAAATTTCTAAGGGCAAGGTGAAAATGTACAACCGCCACGAAATGATGGACGTGGTAAAAATTGACGGCAAGGCCCGTGGAATTATTGCCCGCAACCTGGTTACCGGTGAAATTGAGCGCCATGGGGCACACGCGGTGCTGCTTTGCTCGGGCGGTTATGGCAACGTATTTTACCTTTCAACCAACGCCATGGGCTCCAACGGTTCAGCGGCCTGGCGCGCGCATCGCAAGGGGGCAGCTTTTGCCAACCCGTGCTTTACACAAATTCATCCCACTTGCATTCCCGTTTCCGGAGATTACCAAAGCAAGCTTACGCTGATGAGTGAATCATTGCGCAACGATGGCCGTATTTGGGTTCCAAAGAAGAAGGAAGACGCTGAAAAAATAAGAAGTGGGCAATTGAAACCCACCGATCTCAAGGAAGAAGACCGCGACTATTACCTGGAGAGAAGATACCCCAGCTTCGGAAACCTGGTTCCACGGGATGTGGCATCGCGGGCAGCCAAAGAACGATGCGATGAAGGCTTTGGTGTAAACCGCACCGGGCAGGCCGTATTTTTAGATTTTGAAGCGGCCATCATGCGCTACGGTGGTACCGAAGCCAACGTAAAAGGCATAAACAATCCCAGCGAAAAACAAATCAGGGAACTGGGTACAAAAGTGGTGGAGGCCAAGTATGGCAACCTTTTCGAGATGTACGAAAAGATTACAGACGACAATCCCTACCAAACCCCAATGATGATTTTCCCAGCCGTGCACTACACCATGGGCGGCATTTGGGTAGACTACAACTTGCAAACTACCGTACCTGGCTTGTATGCCCTGGGCGAGGCAAACTTTTCGGATCACGGAGCAAACCGTCTCGGAGCCTCTGCCTTAATGCAAGGATTGGCCGATGGTTATTTTGTGATTCCCTACACCGTGGGCGATTACCTGGCCGATGACATCCGCACCGGGGCCATTGATACGAAACACCAAGCTTTTGAACAGGCCGAGAAAGAGGTGAACGATCGCTTAACCGCTCTCATGAATACCGAAGGAAAGAAACATTCGGTTGACTATTACCACAAAAAATTGGGTAAAATTATGTGGGACAAATGCGGCATGAGCCGGAGCGCGGAAGGCCTTAAGCAAGCCATGAAGGAAATTCGCGAATTGCGAGAAGAATTCTGGAAAAACGTTAAGGTTCCGGGTCGTCATGACGAAATGAACCCCGAGCTCGACAAGGCCGGTCGCGTAGCCGACTTTATGGAACTTGGCGAGTTGATGTGCAAAGATGCCCTGGACCGTGAGGAATCGGCCGGTGGTCACTTCCGTGAAGAGTATCAAACGGAAGAAGGCGAAGCCCTGCGCAGAGATGAAGAGTTCGCCTACGTTTCGGCTTGGGAATACACCGGATATCCGGGAGAAGCCAAGCTAAACAAGGAAGAGCTGATTTTTGATAATGTTGAATTAAAGACCAGAAGCTACAAATAAGCGGTTGATAAACACAAGCACTATGAAACTTACATTAAAAATATGGCGTCAGGCCGGCCCCAAAGCCAAAGGTGAATTAAAAACCTATCAGCTTGATGACGTAAGTACGCACATGTCGTTTTTAGAAATGATGGACGTGCTCAACGAACAATTGATTGAGAATGGAGAGGAGCCGGTAGCTTTTGATCACGATTGCCGCGAAGGCATCTGCGGAAGCTGCAACTTAATGATAAACGGTCGCGCGCATGGCCCGGAGCGTGCCACCACCGCCTGCCAATTGCACATGCGCAAGTTTAAGGATGGCGATACCATTACCATTGAACCCTGGCGCGCAAAAGGTTTCCCGGTTATGAAAGACCTGGTAGTTGATCGTTCGGCCTTTGACCGCATCGTACAGGCGGGCGGCTATATTTCAGTAAATACCTCGGGCAATACGCTTGATGCCAATGCCATTCCCATTGAAAAGGAAAAGGCCGATTTATCGTTTAACGCGGCTACCTGTATTAGTTGTGGTGCTTGCGTAGCGGCATGCCCTAACGCCTCGGCCATGCTATTTGTAGGGGCGCAGGTTTCAAAGTATGCGCTTCTACCGCAAGGTAAAGTGGAAGCGAAAGACCGTGTTTTGAACATGGTGAAACAAATGGATTTGGAAGGCTTTGGCAATTGCTCAAACGTGGGCGCTTGCGCGGAAGAATGCCCCAAAGAAATTTCATTGGAAAACATTGCCCGCATGAATCGCGAGTACCTGTATGCCAGTGTGGGAAGGTAAATTCCAATAAAATTAAGCATGCAAAAAAGCTCCGGTTTCGGGGCTTTTTTTAGTTCTAGAAATAGGGCAAATAGTTTATCAAAAACTCTTTCACCCCACAAACGGTAAGATTTTCCCGTTTCCGATAATCGGGCTCACCCTGCACAACTATGAAGTTTTGTTCGGTGCCTAAATCCTGTATGCTAGTGGTATTCCCTATAAATAGCAGAGGTATCTAAATCCTTTACTATCATTCTACCTAAGGTGGTTTTCCCGCATTGTCGAGGTCCCAGTATTGCTACTGCAGGAAATTTTTTACTGAAGCGCAGATATTTTGCTCCTCCAACCGCTCAATCATAACCTTGAATTTTGTCAAAGCGATTTACAATTTTCAAGGTTCGTTATCTATTCGGTTGAGGAGGGAATAGGCGGGAGAAAGGAAACAATAGGGCATAAAAAAAGCGGGAGACTCTGCAACTCCCGCTTTTAAATTCTTAACAGTGTTATTTGGAATCTGTAGATTACTAACCCTATTTCCCTATAAAAATGAAGAACCCTGTTAAGTCCAACTAAAGTAGTAAAAAATTTGATGTGACCAAAGACTGGTGCAAACAAAAAAAGCCCCGCTTAAAACGGGGCTTTACGAAAACTAAAACATAAAAATGAAAAAACTTCTAAAGCTCTGTTATCAAAGGTAATGAATTCTTGCTAATATCGTAGGAGAAAAATAGCTTCCAATAAAGTAAATATGCCCGACAAAAACTTTCAACTGGCCCTTATACAAACCGGCTTGCACTGGCAAAACAAAGCGGCCAATATCAATGCCTTTAACGAGCTAATTTCCAACATTCAAAATGCGGATCTCATTTTGCTTCCCGAGATGTTTACCACGGGTTTTAGCATGGAACCTCAGGGTTTGGCCGATACACCCGAGGGCGATACCCTTGTGTGGTTGCAGGAAAAAGCCGGGCAGGCAGATGCCGCCATTAGTGGCAGCCTTATCGTGTGCGACAAGGGAAAGTATTACAACCGGTTGTATTTTGTGTTCCCCGATGGGAAGTACAAAACCTATAATAAGCGTCACCTTTTTACCCTGGCGGGCGAGGAGAAAGTGTATAGCTCGGGTAAGGAAAAGCTAATTTTAAATTTCAGGGGTTGGAAAATAAACCCGCAGGTATGCTATGACTTGCGCTTCCCAGTATGGTGTCGCAATACCACCGATTTTGATCTCCAGTTTTTTGTGGCCAATTGGCCCGCCCGAAGAAGCGCTGCCTGGAAAGCATTGCTCAAGGCAAGGGCCATAGAAAATATGTGCTACGTAGCCGGACTAAACCGCATTGGCGATGATGGCAACGGGGTTTACCACTCGGGCGACTCAGGCGTGTACAACGCGCTCGGGAAGAAAGTGAGTCATACGCAAGCCGGGGAAACGTCTTGCGAAACGGTTTCCCTTTCAGCCGAAGACCTCAATAAGGCCCGGAAAAAATTTGCCTTTTTAAAAGACCGCGATGCATTTGAGTTAAAAACCTAGGGCTTCACCTCCCAGGTCATATCCATTTCCCAGTTGGCCCTAATTTCCAGGGGTTCTGAAAATTTTAGTCGAATTTCTGGTAAACGGTTTTCCTTAACGTTGCCGCTGGTCCATTTTCCATCGCGGTTTACATCTTGTATCAGGTAGGCCTGGTACGTTCCGGGCATTCTGTTTTTCAGGCTCAGGCTTGTGCTGTCTTGAAAAACCACCTGTTTCACTCTTTTTTGTCGGGCATTGACAATGTGCAACAGGTATTGAAAACTGCTGTCTGTTTTAACTTTTAGCGTTAATGAGCCCAGGTCTTCGCCTCTCAGTACTTTAACATCGAAAAGGCTGGTGTCTATTTTGGCGTCAAACCAGGCATCAACCGCACCGGGCACCAGTTTTAAACTAAAGTTGCCGCGGTTTGGTGGGGGCAAATAGCCCAGCAAATAATCGCTCGTATCGGCAACCAACTGAATGTTTGTGGTGTCTTTTTGTAAATAGAAAATCGAGTCTTTGTTAAAACCAGCAATTGGCAAATTGCTGCGAAAAAACAGGGTGTCGGTAGTGCGCAGCTCGCTTTGTGAGGCAATTAATTTCAATTTAGGCACTTCATATTCCCGCAGTTGCACGGTGTAAATGGAATCGTTAAAAAGCGCCTGGCCATTAAGTGAGAAAAGAAGCGAATCCCGCTGGGCCATGAACCAGAAATCAAGCGTATCCCCCCTTCCGCGAAAGCGGAAAAAAGAAGAGTCGGGAGGTACATTTAGCGCTTTAATTTTTAGGCTGTCGGGCTTTTTATTAAAAATAAACTGCACCAAGCCGTGGTCAATTTGCCGCGCCCGATAAAATCGAAATGCTTCTTCGGGCTGGTAGGAGCGAAGGCTGTAGTGCAAAACCGTATCGGGCTGAACCCTGATGGTGCGTGGCCAAAAGGCTGTACCCTCGGTGCCGGAGTTGAGCAAAAAGTCGTCCATTTTATCCTCAAAGGCCACCAGGCGATATTCGCCACCTTTGAGGTTGGTGAGCTTAAACTGTCCGGTTTCATCGCTTATGGCATAATAGCTGGGCAGCTTTTTATACAGAAATGAATCGGGCTTTTCTATGTTTTTTACATCATACAGGCCTACCAAAAGTTTCTTGGCACCTTCGCCCGTATAGGCATCGGTAATATGGCCGCTAAGTTCAAGACTGTCAATATAACTGCCGGTGGAAAACACATATCTGATATCCAGGTTTTCGTTGCCTTCGGTAAAATCGGTAATGCTATTGCCAAAGGAAATTATATAGGTAGTGCTATCGCGCAGGGTATCGCTAATTTCAATAACAACTTCTTTTCCACGGTTCACAATCTTGGGTTTGTTTTCCAGTGGGGGAGAGATAAGCAATTGTTGCTGCCCGTTTTTGAGGTTGATGTATTCATCAAACACCAGTTTTATTTTTTTGGACGAAAAATTGGTGCTGTAATTTGGTGGAAAGGCCGTGTCCAAAACGGGGGCAAGGGTATCTTTCGGTCCGCCACTGGGCGCTGAGCGGCTGGCGCAAGAGCTAATGCTTAGTTCAAAAAACACCAGGGTGCAAATGGCCCCTAACACAAAAAGGGCTCTTCTTAAATTCTCATTCATAAACAATTGCTAAGCGGGTGCAAATATTGCTTTTATCTGCCTTACGGCCGAATGTGTACTGCAACTAGCGTGCAAAAGCCAGGGTAAATACTGAAAGTTTAGCGCCCGAAATTCCTTCCAATACTGATAAGCAACCTTCCATGGTGCTGCCCGTGGTTAGCACATCGTCAACCAGCAGTAGCTTTTTACCGCTAAAAGCCGCGGGATTTTGCAGTTGAAAAACGGTTTTCACATTCAGCCAACGATCAAAGCGGCCTTTCAGCGTTTGGGTTTCGGTAAACTGAGTGCGCATCAAATTTTCGGCATCACAGGGAATACCGGTGGCTTTGCTGATGCCTTGCGCCACCATTTCGGCTTGATTGTAGCCGCGTTTTTTAAGTTTCTTGGGGTGCAATGGCACCGGCACCAATAACTCAATATGGTTAAAGAAAGAAGCCCATTCATATGCGGCCATCTCGCCAAGAAAAACGCCCACTTCCGGTTGATTGTTATACTTGAGCTGGTGCAGCATATTTTGCACCATGCCGCCTTTTTCAAAGTGTAAATAGGCCGCGCCTTTTTCTATTTGGTTTCTTCCCAAAAAACTATCTGAAACGGGGTTGGAAGCCGCCCGGTTGAAATCTGTGCGGGGCAGTTCAAGCAAGCACTTGGTGCACAAAATGTTTTCCTTCTCCACCAAAGGCTGTTTGCAACCCGCACAACTGGCGGGGTAGCAAAGGTTTAAAAGGCTTCCGAAAAACGATTGCAGGGCATTCAAAATTAAGGCTTTAGCGCCCAAAATACGAAATTCTAGAAAAAGGCCTTTACCTGAACATTGCCGGTATGAATGGCAAAGGTGTTTTCACTAAAACGCGCATTGTAGTTGAGGCTCAATACAATGTTTTTCAAAAAGGTGCGCTGCAGCGTGAGGTTGACTGTGGCATTGTTTCCGGGGCGCAGGGCTTGTAGCATTTCATAGCCTGCGGGCGAGTTGGCTTCTCCTTCAAAACCGTTGAAAATATAGTTTGCCTGAATGAGCAAGCTCAATTTTTCGGCCGCATTATAGTTGAGTTCCACCCCACTGTTTTGGCTAACCAAAAGGTTGTTGTTTTGCTCGGCTTCGCTGCTTTGGCTGCTCACTTCGTGGCTGCCGGTAAGCGTAAAAACCCGATTGGGTTGGTAACTTAAAGCGTATCTATTCCGATAGGCCTCAATTGAAAAATTACGACTTCTAAAATTCCCGGAACGGTTTCGCTTGTTTTGTACGGCACCGTAAACCCTGAAAATGAAAGCATCGCCCAGCGCAAGGCGCAGGTTGCCAATGTGCTCGCGTACTTCGCGGCTTTCCACGCCAAAACTGAGCAAAGTGCGGTTTTCGCTTTGGCGGAAGGTGTAATCGGCACCAAAGCTTGTTTGCGCGCGATTATAGAAAATGGTATTCCTGAAATTGTTGTTCAGCGCTACTATTAAACTATCATGAGCCGGTTCCACAAAGGGGTTGAGTTGATTGGTATTTCCCCTGAGCAGGGTTTTGCGATCCAACTGATAATTAAACAGCAGGGAAAACTTGCTCATAAATTTCCGTAAATCTTCCTTCTGCTGCCAGCTAAAAGGAGCGTTTACGTTTAGGTTTTGCCCCAACTTTATAATGTTGGTACGCACAAACTGGTTGTTGGGGGTAAATACGCGCACGTAGCGGGCCAAATCGGGGGTGGGAGCAACTTCAAACTCGTCTAGTTCTTTTATGCCGTTGCCGTTATAGTCGGTATGCGTATAAGTTCCCGTTCCGGCCGGAACTTCAATATAATTAAAGTTCCTGCGTGGTTCATTTCCGGCCCCGGTTTCGTAAAAACTGGTGCTTACAATGTTTCCGTTAAAGAGTTTTTGAAGGTAGTTCACGCGCG